CTTGAGTGCCACCATCAGGTAAGTTGCCAAGCGTGGCTTCACTGAACACAAGTAGTTCTAGGGTATTATCATCACCCAGGAATTGGAATCAAAGGGTAGCCTTTTTAGACTTCAACATGCTGACAACCTTATTGGCCTCAATAATATCTTGCACAGTAGGCCTCTTTATGGAGGCTGCCAAACTGCTGGCATCAAACATGATGTCTGGTCCACTCTGTCTACCAACCCAAAGTATCTGTCCCACTTTTGATCGATAAACATTAAGTTCTGTTACTGTCAGTGGGGAATCGCGCTGAGATGCTCTTTCTTTATCAAGAGAGATCTGATTGAGATTTTCAACATAACTGTCTTGTTTCATCAAAATTGCATACTGCTCACTGTTGGTTGGTTGGTTTGTTGTTTTACGCCGCACTCAGCAATATTCCAGCTATATGACGGCGGTCTTTAAATAATCTAGTCTGGACCAGACAATCCAGTGATTGATATCATGAGCATCGATCCATGCAATTGGGATACGATGATATTCTGCTCACTGACAAGTTCAATGCCCACATAAGAGAAGTTATCACTTTCTTCCCGTCCCGCATTGAATGCTGATCTAATTTGTGGTACAACAGATTCTTCATATGCTGCTGATCCACCCCAGATGAAGTCGTCAACATGGCTTGCAAGTACACCCTCAATGCCATTTGTTTCATTTCACCAGTAGAACACAGCAGTCTACAACTGATATTTTATCACCACAGTTTCGCATTACTTCACATACTTTGTTGTACCAATATAGTGAGGCATCTAAAAGCCCATACACACACTTTTGAAGATGCCAGATAATGCCCTTTTGTCTGACCTCTTTTGGGGGACGAAGATGTATGTCTCTTGACAGCTTGCTTCTTTGTAAAAAAGCAGTTTTATTGTCCATGGAATGAACTTTCAACTTGTTTTGAGCAAACAAAGCCAAAATTATTATCAGCGACTCAGAAGAACATGTGGGGGAATCGCTTGGTAGATCTTTATTATCCACCTCCTCGAACCCACAAGCAACTAATCTTGCCTTAGGAACTATTCCATCCGTTGACTCTTTGACGGTACATATCCACCTAGTGGAAATACACTTCTTCCCATGATCAATGACTTCTGTATATACAGCATTTTTCTTCCAACTTTCCAATTCTTTGGATTTTGCTGCTTCAAAACACACATTTTCAAAAACCATGACATTATCATCTTGAACATTATTATTTTCACGCAACTCTTCAGTTGATGTAGATTCTTTGTGTTGGCCATCTCCAGCATTACTAACAGCTAGTAAGTCAACACAGGTGAGATCAACAGACGCTGTTGTTCCTGTAACGTTCTCTGGCTCACAAAACTCTATGTTATACCAGTTTTTGTATTTTCCAGTTAGCTTTCCTGCCCTTCCAAGTACTTGTGCAAGATGAATAGTTCCAGAGTGTTTGTCTTTGTACCTGACCAGATGTCCAGTTTTCATCTGGATAGTTTCATTTCCTAACATGCTCAAATCTGACATTTCCATTGATTCTAACGATCTGCTTTCACAATCGTCTTCAATATGATTTTCATCTCTGTTGTTGATGAATATGATTAGTGGCGACTGTCACATTCTTCAATGTGTGATCATTCTCATTACATTGATCAATACCTTGTTCCTTTGACATATTCTCAGGTATCACATTTTCACGATCACTTTCTCCTACTTGACACTTGGCCCTCTGCAGTCGACAATAGTGTACTCGAATAGTTAAACCACCATGTCTAACGAAAACAAGCACCCTGTCTTGACCAATCACAGTTACTGGCCCTTTCCATTCTCTACAATCAGGGCGTTTATAATAAACCTTTTCTCCAGAGGTATACTTATCTCCAGTAGGCCGTACTTATTTTCGAAGTGCACAACGAATTCTTTCTGAACATTCTGACTCCATGAACGCCTTTGTTGTGGAGTGAAGTGCTATGATATGATTGCCCAAGACTTCACTGATAGCAGTGCCTTCAAATGCAGGAGCTTGATCAGTGAGGACACTTGGGAGATTCCGATTTTGTCTGAATACTAGTTGATGTGGACTGTATCCATGGACACTATGCAAAGCATCTTTAGCCATCAAAGCCCAACTCACAGCTGATTCCCAGTCACATTGATTTTCCGCTCTGACCTTGAGAAGTATTTCTGTAAGGGTTTGGTTGTGTCTTTCCAGTAGACCATTACTCCAAGGGCTGTACGCTGGTGTAGTTTTGACCTCAATGTTAAAGTTCTCTGCCATATCCCACACTTCCTTCTTGTTGTCACTGTATAATTTCTTGGGAGCTCCATGTACACTTATCCAATTTTAATGGATAGTTTTATATACTCACTTGATTGCTTTGTTCTCATAATACAGCCAGCACTGAATCATGTAAACTCATCCATAATGTGTAGGTACCATACACTATGTCCAAGTTCATGCAAGTCAACAGCGACAGTCTCATTGTATTCAGTAGCCAGAGGAAGCCCAACAGCAGGCTTTGGACTTGGTCTTTTGTATTTCAAACAAGTGTCACAACTTTCTATAATTTGCTGCAGCAAATCAAATGTCTCTTTGTTGTCTGTGCCTGCACTTTTAAGGAGTCTTTTTAACCTTTCGAAAGAGGCATGTCCAAACTGTTTGTGTAGCTAAGTCAGTACCTTTGTTTGTTCATCCTTGCTCATACCGTCAGTCACAGTCAGAATTTCTTCCGCCTTGTCAAAAGTCACATCATTTTCTTCATCCAGGATATCAACGCAGTAATGTCCACTTGATGTGAATTGTAAAGTGACTGGTGCATCAAACATCCTAGCAGTGTCCTTGCTAAGATCAAGCACAGTGCCTGCTTTCTCTAGCGAGGCTTTGCTAAGCAGCAGTGGAATGTCAGCGTTTACCACTTCTGTATCAATATTGCAAGCTGTATTGCCAATCTTTGCAGGTATTGTCACCTTTTCAAAAGAACTAACAAGGTAACCATCACCACATTTAAAAATTCTGTGACCTTGGAGCCGTTGAAATATCTTTCTTCTGTTCAGGTTTCAACTTGTTCACATAATCATCAAGCCATCGTTTTCAACAAACAAACAGTTCTGGTACACGCAGTATCAATTATAGCGGATCCCATTGATTCCAGTCAATGAAAGTGCGACTGCCAAAGCTTGCTTTTCTTTAGTGAGATCGGTTACCAATTGAATTGCCACATGGCCAGTTCATTTTTCCAATTCTCATACGAAACCGTCTCTTCAAACTTCGGAGGAAGTTTATAGTAGAACGCTATTTCCGCTCTGCTACCAATGTCAATCTGTACTTTTGTGACACTGTAAAACCTTTTACAGTATTGAATAAATCTCTCTAACACTCGTGTTTGGTCTCGATGTCTTTTATTCCCGCCATTGCCCTCCTCATTTACATAACCAGAAGGTCTTCCGCTTCCGCTCATAAAAAAAAGACCATCAACATGATCAACCGGACCAAGCCAGGATATTGACAAAATCATATAGTTAACAGTCCGTGCGACCCATGCGGGTACTGTATGGTGGCCGAGTCCTGTCACTGACGGGATACTGCAGGTTGATGAATCCCAGGCTGTCCGTGCGGGAGTTGGGCGACGTGGAAAGGCTCCGAGTCAATTTCTGTGCTGACATAGCCTTCTTAACCTCGTTGTGAGGTCGAGCAGCCATTCTACCTCCAGTGATAGACCGAAAGACGAGATTCAAATAGATTAGACATCTCAGAATTCTGCAGAGCAAAAAACTGCTCCAGCACGGCAATTGGAAACGTAGGCTGCTCTAGTATAACAGACAGCTGCATGCGATCGGCTGGTTGTTTGTCAGACCCCGACATGACATTGTCCAACTTTTACAGTATTGAATAAATCTCTCTAACACTCGTGTTTGGTCTCGATGTCTTTTATTCCCGCCATTGCCCTCCTCATTTACATAACCAGAAGGTCTTCCGCTTCCGCTCATAAAAAACGGACCATCAACATGATCAACCGGACCAAGCCAGGATATTGACAAAATCATATAGTTAACAGTCCGTGCGACCCATGCGGGTACTGTATGGTGGCCGAGTCCTGTCATTGACGGGATACTGCAGGTTGATGAATCCCAGGCTGTCCGTGCGGGAGTTGGGCGACGTGGAAAGGCTCCAAGTCAATTTCTGTGCTGACATAGCCTTCTTAACCTCGTTGTGAGGTCGAGCAGCCATTCTACCTCCAGTGATAGACCGAAAGACGAGATTCAAATAGAATAGACATCTCAGCATTCTGCAGAGCAAAAAACTGCTCCAGCACGGCAATTGGAAACGTAGGCTGCTCCAGTATAACAGACAGCTGCATGCGATCGACTGGTTGTTTGTCAGACCCCGACATGACATCGTCCACCTTCTTTTTGGTGGCATCTTTTCTCTTTGCTTTAGTGAGTGCATGGCTGAGTTTGGAGAATGCCTTCTTGGAGAGTTGGAGACAGAGTGTACAGTGATCGTCTTCTGTACAAGAAGGCTCTCTGCATTTCCAACACTCGTGATGAGGGTCGCCGGAAATCATGAACCTGCCACACTTGTGACAGGCTGATTGAGGGGGAGAGGACGCCATCATGAAGGGTCACTTGGAAAATAAACAAACACAATCACAACCAAATACTCAAGTAGATCGAGCCCAGTAACTAAAGATTCTAACATAGCAATATAGAATAACAAAATACTGAATATATAGCAAAGCATGTGACCACAGCTTAGTGCTAGAGAGATCGTCTACTTTTATAAGTAAGTGTTGACTCTAGCACACACAGGAAAGAAGTGGAGGTATTCCCACCTTATTCGCGTAAGAGCCCTGAGCTGCTAGTGTTATTTTCGGGACAACTCATGTTGTATAGTTGACAGTGAAGAGGACAAATGGATACATTCACCCGGTAGCACATTTATTCCTAGATTCTAACATCTAAATGAATAAACATCATCTTGTTATTGTTAAATTCTTACCTCTAAAGTAATGGATTTTAATGGAACTTGTTTGTTAAGATGAGGAACTGGTATCTTCTTCTGTCTTGTGAATACCGTTACACCATTACTCAATGTCGTTTCTTTGACTTTGGGGTATAATTTGTTTTCATATATTCTTGTCCCTTCTTCCAGGTGGTGGTTTTCTGTGGGATACATTGTTTCCTCAGTATGATAGCAGACTGGTACTGGCTGATTATGAGTAAGAGCAAACTGTGGTTGAGGGAAATTTAAGTTATCATGATCTTGCATTGAAGCCAAACAATCTTGAGGAGTGTCACTGGGTAGGTTATCTCCTGAAAATGTAATGTGTTTGTTGTTGGGCTGTTTATAATGTGGCAAAGTCATATTGATTTCTTCATAAAAAGGAAGAGGGTTTGCAGTTGATGCTTCCAAAGATACAGAACCATTCTCAATGCTCTGGTCAACATGAAATTCATTTGCTTTGTTTTTCCTTTTCCTCTTCCTTTTTCTTTTGCGTGTTGGTTCCTCAGTTGATGTTAAATCTGCCAACTCCATCTTTTCCTCTCCATCTATTGTATCTGTAATGTGAGCTTTCTTGTAAGTTAACACCAAATGTGATTCTTCTTTTCCTTCATTGACCCTATCACATTCATTCGCATATGCTATTGCATCATCCAGGACTTCAAGAATCTCCTGCTTCCTCTTCTGCAAACTCTGACAAGGCATTGTGTTGGTGTCAACATCAATATCATCATCTGCAATGCTGCAGATATCATTATCAGAAGGTGCTTGTGACTCATCACATTGCTGTTCTCTTTTCTTCTTCTCCTTCTTCTTCTTCTTAGTGTTTCCATCCATCAGCTGTTGACAGTTAGCATGGGTGTTTACATCGAGTCTGAAACATTGACACCATACAATTTATACAACAGCCAAATACTAGCCTAAATGTCATATCTCTTGCTCATGAGAAGTCACTTGTCGTACAAATTTCTATTAATAGTTTTGACTTTCTGGGATGCAACATTTACTTCCCTGAATAATGGTAACATGTAAGGACACAGACCAAAAAGCCAGACATTTTACTGACTCTCCAGATACCTCTAAGTTACATTAGACAAATTGACTTTAGTTGGCAAATATTAAGGTGCATCCCTGGACTTAAAAACACTGCTATGAGTGATATTTCATATAATTTGTGTTACAACAGACTCTGGCATAGCATCAGCTGATCAGTTAACTTAATGAATATGAAGCCCATTTCTGGTGTCCCCCGTTGTTATATTGCTTACTCAAGCACAAATCAGAGTCTTGAGGTAGAACGTCCGCCCGGAGAGCGGAAGGTCCAGGGTTCGACCCCGGCCACATCATACCAAAAGATGTTAAAAGATGGAACTTGTTATCCTGTCTGGTGCTCGGTATTTAGGGGATAAAACAAGGACTGGTCACCTCGGAGACAGTATACTGTGTCTGAGTGGGGTATTCATGTTAAACTGTGACATGGTATCTCTGTGGGCTAGCACTATAAAATTGGCATCACTCCGGACTAGTACAAGCAGTCACACACAAGAGCATGCACGTCGCTATATAAGTGCAATAATCTTGGACGCAACATTTAACCCTATTTCACCCCTACAAAAACATCAAAAACGTTCAGCCCAATTCAGAAAAAAAAATTGGGAATTAATTTGAAGTTTAGTTTTTAAACTGTAGTTAATGGGAGACAATATAGCCCATATTTTCTTTTCTAATTTTTAACCAGCCAGTGGCTACTTTAACCTCCCAGCATTGCCTGCTGGACAATACTCAGCTCCTTATATGGTCAGTTGCTATTACGCCAGGCTTAGTTCAACAGTGCGGCCAGCTTTCTCAAAAAACGTTTTAAGTTTTTCCCCTACTTTGATAGTTATTGGAAGTCATTGTAATATGTTTGTTATTATTGTAAGCATTGTAACTAATATAAGCGGTCACACATGCGCATTAAACACTTCCTGTTCCGCCATGCTTCGTTATCGTTTTCAAGTACACAACATGGTGTCAGAAGCCAGGAAAATCTAAACACATGAAGTTTAAAAAGCTGAAAGTAAGTAAAGGGAAGTCTAATAAGTAACTAAAGAAGATTTAAATGGGTCATGAAAGCGGAATTAACCCGAGAATGAACTGGGAAAGCAGAGACCTACCACAAGCATGGAAATCATTCAGAAATCACACAGAATTCATGTTCGGGGGTCTGTTGAACAAGAAAACAGAGGCTGAAAAATGCAACCACTTGATGATATGGGTAGGAGAACATGGTAGACATGTATTCTCAACCTGGAATATATCAGCAGATGATCAGAAACTTTTGAAAACATATTATGACAAGTTTGAAGAACATGTTGCTCCCAAGTTGAATGTTGTGTTTTCAAGATACAAGTTTCACAGTAGAACAGAGACTTTTGAAGAGTATATGACAGCGCTGAGAATGTTAGCTAGAGATTGTAGCTTTCACGATGCAGAAGAAATGATAAGAGACAGGATTGTGTATGGAACTAAACATACAAGGGTGAGGGAGAAATGTATAGAAGAAGGTTCAAATTTGACTTTAGCTAGGGTGTCAGAAATTGCACAATCTCATTAACATCAGATCTTAGTTTTCGCTTCCGCTAAACAAAGATCTGAGGACATCCCATAACGAGTCATGTCAGAACGACCTTTCACGAACTTTGACCGACCAATGAAATGACTGACAAGAAATCGACATTAGCCAATCAGAAGGCAGCTTTCTCGAGCTTTACGACGCAAGTATCAAACTGACGACTACGCTTCGAAAATTATTTTGACATATTCTGTCACTATTCTCGATTAAAAATTAAAACTGATAAAAAGAATGTTCTTGAATTGCTTATAGATGGCGACACTCTGATTGGTTGGATGAAAGGTCGTTCTGACGTGACCCGTAATGGGATGTCCTCAGATCTTTGTTTAGCGATAGCGAGAACTAAGACCTGATTTTAGTCAGATTGGAAAGGGCACAGACATATGAAGTTTCACAGAAACAGTTACAGAGTATGGAAATAGCTGTAAATGCATTGACAGTAAACAGACATGATAAACAAGAGAGAGAGACTAGTAACATAGAACAAGGTTACAAGTACAGAAATACAAGTACACAGTGTACAAGATGTGGATTCAATCACTTTGAATCAGCAAGATGCCCAGCAGATGGTAGAACTTGTGTGAAATGTGGTAAAATAGGACACTATGCAGCTGTATGCAAATCAAGAACAAGTAAACAGTGCACACCAAGAGACACACACAATACAAGGTCGCAGAGAACAAGAAACACAGAAAACAGGGGAAAAGTAGAAAGATAAGTTCTATGGATGAACAACTTCTTTATTACAATTAGTGCGACGTTTCGGTGTAGATCCTAACACCTTTTATCAAGCAAGGTGTTAGGATCTACACCAAAACGTCGCACTAATTGTAATAAAGAAGTTGTTCATCCATAGAACTTATCTTTCTTCATCACACCAACTTCTAAATGCCACTGAAAGAAGGGGAAAATATTTCATCTAGAAGAAGTTGAAGGGGAGATTTTATTTCTGGGAATGATAAATGTCATTGGAGGTGAAGATGATGAATCAAGATGGACGCAACAGATGTTCTTAAATTGACATTCAGTCAGAATTCAGTTAGATACAGGGGCGAATTGTAATGTGTTGTCTAAGAAGTTATTGGACAAAGTATTTCAGGGACCATTACAGAAACAAGACATTATTTCAAGTATCAAGAGCTACACAGGTCATCAGATAGCAATCCAAGGCGTTGTGAAGCTACCAGTCACAGCAATCTCATTAAAATCAGATCTTAGTTCTCGCTATCGCTAAACAAAGATCTGAAGACATCCCATTACGGGTCATGTCAGAACGACCTTTCATCCAACCAAACAGAGCGTCACTTACCAGATCATGTTTGAAACTAGTGTCGTAAAGCTTGAGAAAACTGCCTTCTGATTGCTAATGTCGATTTCTTGTCAGTCATTTCATTGATCGGTCAAAGTTCTCGAGGGATCATTCTGACGTGAACCGGAATGGGATGTCGTCAGATCTTTGTTTAGCGGTAGCGAAAACTAAGATCCGATTTTAATGAGATTGCCAGTCACAGTAAAGGCAAAAATGACATTCATTCAGTGTTGTTCAACATCATCAACACTGATGAAATTCCAGTACTGGGTGGAGAAACATGCATCGAAATTGGCTTAATTCAACGTGTCTACGCAATCAAAGAACAGTCACCGAAAGATTTTAAGATCTCATGAAAAAATATGAAGACGTATTTGAAGGACTGGGATGTCTTCCAGGTACACATTCCATCAAACTGAATTGGGAACAGACACCAGTTGTTCATCCTCCCCACAAAACAGAACTGGATCGCATGGAACAGCTCGGAGTAATCGTCAGACAGACCGAACCAACAGAATGGGTAAACAGCATGACTGTCTTCGTGAAACTGAACAAGATAAGAATCTGCATTGATCCTTCAGACTTGAACAGAGCCATTCAACGAGAGCACTATCCATTAAAGACCATCGAAAAAGTTGTTGCAGTGAAGCCTGAGGCCAAAGTATTCTCCAAGTTCCGGGTTCTGGCAGATTTGCCTTGACAAAGTTTCATCGAGGCTATGCACTTTCAACACACCTTTCGGGCGATACAGATTTACAAGATTGCCTTTTGCAATCAAATCAGCACCTGATGTTTTCCAAAGAATCATATCAAGCATGGTAGCAGACTTCGACGGAGTTGAACCAATAATGGATGACATTCTCACCTGGGGAAAGAATGACACAAACCATGATGAACGTGTGAAGAAGCTTCTCGATCGAACCAGAAAATACAACCTGAAGCTTCACAAGAGTACCGGTAAGCGCAAGTTCAAAGTCGACCGAGTGCAGTACGTCGGACATGAAATCTCCAAAGAGGATTACGTCAGATTACTATAAGTCACAGTGAGTCAACCACAAAAAGCAGCCTGGCATTGGGGAACCACACAAGAAAACTGCTTCCAACAACTGAAGAAAATCACAACACAAGCACCACTACTAGCCTTCTACAACCCGAATCTCGGATGTCAAAAGTTTCATCAATATATCTACATGAGAAAGGCTGATGTCGAGACCGATCACAAACCATTACAAGCTATCTTCAGAAAGCCCCTTCACGAAGCTCTGCCTCAACTGCAGAAGATTATGATGATGCTACAACGATATGATCTGAACGTAAATTACTGACCTGGAAGAGAACTCCTGTTTGCTGATCACCTGAGCAGAAATTTCTTGAAGGAATCGTATGAAACAGAGACACTTGATGTCAATATGATCAGTTATCTCCCTGTCACAGATACCAAGTTGAAGATGTTACAATCAGCTACAGCTAAAGACAGCATGTTGACAGAAGTCAGAGACTACATAATGGAAGGATGGCCTGACCAGCCAAGTGAAGCTAGTATTTAAGCAACACAGTATTGGACATACAGAGAAGAATTGACATGTGTGGATGGTTTAGTGTTTAAAGGACACAAAACTGGTGGTGCCAAATAGTAGCAGAAAAGAAATGCTTGAGAGAATTCATAGTTCACACCTGGGAGTAGAAGAAGAAAGCATCTGAACCTTACAAGGGACTCTTGGATTACAGAAACAGTCCTATCTAAGGGATAGGAAAGTCTCCTGCTCAATTATTCATGGGGAGGAGATTGAGAGGAACTGTACCAATCTCAAACCCATTACTAAGCACTGAACATACAGAACAAGACAGAAACCTACTCCAGAAGAGACAAGTCAGTCAAAACAAACATTACAAAGGTAACACTTATCTGAAACCACTAGAAGCAGGAGATAGAGTCATGGTAAGAGGAAATAACTCCTGGATGCCTGACAGAGTAGTACAGAAACATGCCACACCTAGATTGTACATTGTGCAGTCGGAGACCGGACGCACCTACAGAAGAAACCTCAGAGAAACAGTAATCAGTAAACCCGTCGTACCAGACATCTCCATACCAGCACCGAGTATGCCAGCAGCACCACGTGAAGTCGTCACATCAAAGTCACCAATTGTAGCAACCTGTCTGCCAATGTCGACCACGACAGCCAAACCGTCCATGGAGTCAACACCAACCATACAAGTACCAGTCAACAACGCCAGCCAAGACCGTAACTAGGAGTGGCCAAGTCGTCGCTAAGCTCGCTAAGCTGAGAGACTATCAATGACTTTAATTTCAAGTGTTCAGTATTATAGAACGCTTAATAGTTTATGTGCCAAATATTGTTTATTATTCAGAGACTCTAAAGTGATCTTTCTTAAGTGCAAATTTGTGAATCTCATGGACTGTTAGTGTATTGTGAAACACCTATAGGCTGTATGGTGTTAATTTGAAAATTCATTATATGGACTGTATTAAGTGTAAATGTGAATTTCAACTTTAAATGTGTGAATTTAATAAGTAATATTTCATGGACCAATGAAATGCTCTCAAAGTTTTGTGTCAATCAAGAGAATGTACAGTGCTGTTCTCGATCAGAGCTTTCAGCATCATATACTCAACAACAAAAGTTCCTGTGATACAAATATTTTAGTGTATTTTTCAAAAAAGTAAAGTTTGGTTTTCAATATTTTAGTACATGTATGGAATCAAGTCACAAAAACGCAACTGCTACAAAAAAAGCATGCATTCCATGCAAAAGTTGACTTTAAGCACACCCCCATGCAAAACAACAAAATAACGCAATTATTCAACATGACAAAATGCCACGCCTGTCTGAAAATGAGCGTCTGGTATGCTTGAAGCAGGTTCGAGTCAACGTGATGTTGCAAGACAATTTAACGTCCACAGAAACACCATTTGGTGTTTATGGCAATGTTGGCAACAGACGAATGCAGTCAGAGACCATCCTCGGAGTGGCAGGCCACGCCTAACCAATAATCGACAAGACAACGTCGTTGCCTCAGATGTGCAGGGATTGTCACCAGAAGACCCTCCAGACGTCCCATTTTGACAGGAAACCACCGTCAAGCACTTCTAGAGTGGTGCAGACAGCGTCTATGCTGGACGGCCGTGGGTACAAGTTCTATTCACTGACGAGTCTCGTTTTCACCTCAGCCACAGCGATGGAGGGATTCGAGTGTACCGACGTCGAGGTGAACGTTACGTCAATATTTGTGTCATGGAAGAAGATCAGTTCTGGGGCGGCAGCATTATGGTATGGGTTGGGATTACAGCAAGACAGAGGACCCATTTGATAGTGGTAGAGGGAAATCTCAATGGACATCGCAACCGCGACGAGATCATCAGCCCTGTTGTTCTACTGTTTTGCGTCATCATGGCCCAGGCATTACCTTTCAACATGACAACGCCCTGCCTCATATTGCTCGACTTGTTCAGGATTCTCTTCAACAAAACAACGTGAATGTCATCCCCTGGCCGGCTCGCTCCCCTGATCTCTCACCAATCGAGCACACGTGGGATGAGATGAATCGGCGCCTTCGACGTCTACCACGTGTTCCAAAGACACTTCAGGCACTTCGAAACATGCTCCAGCAGATATGGACAGATATCCCACAGGACTTTGTGTGATGCCTGGTCCATTCCATGAGACGAAGATGTGTTGCTTGCATCGCAACCAGAGGTGGACACAAACGTTACTGACATTTTGGCATGTTCATGTTTTTTATGAAATCACGCATTTTCTGAAGTCAGTATGACAAATTAAACCATTTGAACACTTACAGGAGTCTTTTATCTGTTGCAAACCGATATTGTTTCAGATTTCGTAAAAATTATCACTTTGCATTAAATCTTATTCAATGTCACAGGAACTTTTGTTGTTCAGTATATATGCCTTTATTATTAATTGACAATACAATTATCATCGGATCACAGGTTTTTGGACATTATACGTTTTCTATCTTGAATATGTTGAACTATAAAGAGGGGTGTGGCGCCGCACAGAAATTGTAAATACTCAGATGATGGCTTGTTTTTAAGATAAAGTTGTCCTTTATAAGTGAATGAGATGTTTTACAGTTGTTCATGTGATTAGCGAGAAAACTATGACATGGGTATATATGTTGTATTAATGTCTTATGTTGTTTTGTTTTTTTAAACAAAAGGTAAGTAAGTACAAGGTCAGTTATTTTCAATATGCTTTAACATGGGGTAAGGGTCAGACATTCCACGCTTGTGACAGTTGTCCTTGTGTCTGGGGGATAGGGAGTGAAGTTTATGGCAGTATAACTGCCAGACCCAGCATGAGGGTAAATAAGTTCTGATTCCACAGATCTCCCTTAAAACAAAAAAAATCTTTCATTGAGCATGTTTTATGCACATGAAATTATGAGACAGAAATTAGACCGGGAGGGAGAAGTGCACTTTATGAGGAGCATTTTTTCCTGATTACAGTTAGCGCTGCGTGGAGGATCAAACTTACATTGCCAGCTTGAAGCTACGCTAATGAGTTAATCTATTTAGCCAACCCCCTACCACAGGAACAACCTTAAATAACTAATGCTCATTTACTGAGTCATCAGCACCCGATTGTTTACCTTTAAGCGCATGTGCAGGAGCCATATTTTCTGAGTTTCCTCCTCATGCTAATATTACATTGGATTACTTTGTAAAGGGGTGCCTAACCCTAATGATTGAAAAGGGGTGCAGTAGGTCACTTGTCTCAAAGACAAGCAACCAGTTTTTGTGAAAACCTGTCAGATGCAAACTCGCGACCTTTGGATTGATAGCCCGACAGCTAACCAACTAAGCTATGTCCACACTTTGAAACTAAGTGCAAAGGTACCTATTCTATGCCGTTACGGAACTGAACGAAAAGTGTCGTATAGGTGACGGACACTTACAAAGGTTACGGGTAGGCATGGTGTCTCATGACTTTAGTCTATGGACATTGACGAGTGATTACGATGCCCTTTGGCACACTTGTCCCATTCCGTAATCTACAAGATACCGAGTGGGGAGGAATGAGCCGATATGGCACGAACTGAAAACGGTTCTTGACGTCATGTGTCAGATGTCAAACGCGCAGGTACGCATGAAATGACATGGAATTTAATAATATGTCAGGTGATTTTTGTGACTGAAAAGTGTGGTAGGAAACACTGTAAGGATAATGTGGATAATTGTAAGGAACAAGGGAGGCATTAGCATGGTTAGTGACGATACAAGAGTGAGTTCTCTTTTGAATCAGTTCTTGTGTGAATGTTCCAGGACAGTTTCCAGAAGCCAACACTGAACCATTTCATCCTTTTTTCTTGAAGTTTTAGTGTGAAGAATATTAGGAGCCGCTATAGAATCTATAATAGCTACTGTACAGATACCTAACCCAAATGATCATAAAGCTAGGGTTCATTTGTTTGTTTTTGTTTTGTTTGTTGTTTAACACTGTAGTCAGCAATATTCCAGCTATATGATGGTGGTCTGTAAATAATCAAGAGTTGACCAGACGACCCATTGATTGAAATCACGAGCATCGATCCACGCAATTGGGATGCAATGACATGCATCAACCAAGTCAGCGAGTCTGACCACCAGATCCCATTAGTCACCTCTTACGTCAATTATAGTCGATTTTTACGACAAGCATGGGTTACTGAAGACCTATTCTATGCCAGATCTTCACCGGTAAGCTAGGGTTGATTCATTGCAAAGGGGACCCAAGTGCTGAGGATAGAGTTCGGGCTAACCTACCCAAAAAACAGCAACATTTGGATGTGTTCAGCGCCAATATAATATACCTAATCAACTGCATTCCTGTGCATAATAATGAAAATTAATGGGAGCAGCTTTAGAATACAATACCACAACTTCTCGTGAGGACGTTCTCTGCCGTAGGTCACATGTTTCAAAGGCAAGCAACCAGTTTTGGTGAGAATCCGTCAGACGCGAACTCGAGACCTTCGGATTGTTAGCCCGACAGCTAACCGACTGAGCTACTTCCACACTGTGAAACTAAGCGCAAATTTACCTAGTCATCCCTATGATGTCAAGGAACTGAACGAAAAGGGTCGAAAAGGTGACGGACACCTACGAAGGTTACGGGTAGGCATGGTGTCTCATGACTTTAGGCTACGGACACTTACGAATGATCCCGAGGCCATTTGGCACACTCGTCCTATTCGCCGTAATCTACAAGATACCGAGCGGTGAGGAATGAGCCGATATGGCACGAACTGAAAACGACTATACTACAAATTACGTCATAGGGTATTGTCACATGTTTGAAAAAGTTGTGGTACTGTATTCTAAAGGTAGGCCGAAAGGGGATCCGAGGGCTAAGGATAGAGTTGCAATCGAAGAGGTATGCGCGGAGATCCGTGAAGCGAGAAACACAGTCGGCAGGCGGAACCTAATCCCGCCTAGCCAATAATAAACTGCGCCCGATATACTGTCACAGTCAATGCCACAGATTCTACGTACTCATTAGCTTTTTGCAGAAACACGTGCACGATGTCATTTTCTCTCAGGACACAAGTGGTCTCCCATGATGGCAATCTGCAACCAGATACGAATAACTCTACGTGTTTTTCACAGAGTCCAAACTTTGAAATTATTCTCTTCTCAACATCAGACACTTTTAAAGATTCCTTTACATAAACACAAAACCATGAAGGGTTTATGTCAATATGCTTAAACAAAAGTTTGACACGAATCGAACTTTCTGTGGAGGCTGCCATCTTGAAACTGTAATCTCGAGGAAGATCGCCTCAAACTTCTAATAACATGCAGATAGCAACATTAAGTAAGATAGTAAAAACACAATAAATATATTTATAACAACTATCAAAATGTCTTAATTATTCATTTCATGATTCATATTCATAATATATTGACACAAACAATATTTCACTTGTGTAACGAGAGTAAAACCAAAACTGAGATAAACTGGTTCCACTTTTGCTACGCGACGCCAGCTTAGCGCGTGTTTAAGTAGGCAGGATCCCAGTCTATAACAAGCTCCTCACAGCGATATCCCGTTCGCGGAGCTCTGTGATGTTACCGAGAGCTTCAATAGGTTGTGTTTGGAGGTTTTAACTTGATACCATATTTTCCCTATTTATACAAAATAATTGCATTCGAAATCCTATTGATAAGAAACAGGTGATATAACCTGGTATGTATGAAAGACACCGGGTATCGATAAAAAAATTTGGATAAAGTCTTAGAAGACAGACATGTTTTTGTTGATCTGTTGAGTTAGGTCGAAATGTAACAAGTAATCTTTAGACTTTTGTTCTTCCAAGTACAATAAGTAGTTTTACCTCACATAAATAGCTTACATGCCTTCATCTGTACACATTTACATAGAGCTTTGAATCATGCAACAATAATATTGTATAGAACTCTAAATAATACCTTCTTTTGATGACAGTTTTAGCAAATAATATCTTTGTAAGTCGAACCGAACCGCTGGGGGTACATGACAGTAAACAGGCAGCTAGAGCATTATCTGAGTTCAACAATAGTCTCGATTGGATCAATGCATGACATGTCACACTATAAATTGGATCAATGCATGATATGTCACACTATAGATTGGATCAATGCATGATATGTCACACTATAGATTGCCTCTGAACCTGTCCATAGTACCATATGGACATATCAAATGTGTCAGTAAATCACTATAGCAGGAGTCAAAATAGTTGCACTGTCCACAAGTTGACAGCAAAACTGGCAGCAGTCTTCAGAGTTGGACACTCTCTTGCAACGCTCCATGTAACATAGGGTGTCTCGTCAGGGAGTAATAGAGTGACTTGTGTCCGGGTCAGTTAATAGTCTTTGTCTCCAGGATGCAATTTAGAAGTTCCTCACTGCTTTTTTGCTTTGCTTTTCCAGGTTGCCTGTTTTTGAAAAATGCCTGAGTTGAGAAACGTCTCAAGATAATTCTCAAGAGAATATTTTCTTAAGAATATTACAAAGATCAGGAATGAAGCCAAAATTGATATTCGAGCACTTGTGTCTATATCAGAAAGTTTGGTGAGAAAAATCTTCTTATAGGAAAAAGATGGTAAGCGCAATTGCATAGAAGACCACGGAAAAACAACTTTTTTGAATTCATGTGGGATTCTAAAGGTAACCAGCCAAGCAAGGCATATTGTCATAAAGTGATGAATGAATGCTGTTCAATAATAGTAAGAATAGTAGGACTGTTCGCCAATTGCTGATGCTGTGTACATGTCGTTGGATGTGATTTCATTTGTCTGCCATTCCGTTCCGGTTCGACAGTTGTATGCACCCGATTCATACTTTTTATGTAACCTCGTGCTGTCCGTGTGAATGTGTTGACAAACTGCCATGCCTTGCCTATGACTATGAGGATGAAAAAAACGCCATTAAATGGTCTGAATAACTGCCGAGGACTTCTTCGTCTTCTTTTCATGGTCCTGCGAGCCGGATATGTAAGTACAGTGCCTAATTATGAACTTGGACAGTGATGACAATGATATGCTCGGTGAAACACTGTCGCGTTCGCGAGACGGACACCCCGTACGGTTTTCGTCCAGGCGCAGACGACCACCTGCCTATTTGTCAGATTATGTAGTTGGCATGAATCATGAACTTGATGAAATAATGACCACACGATCGGAAATAAGTGTGGGAAGTGCACATTCTACTAGTTCTTTCGTTTTGTCAAGACTAAGTGATAAGCAAACTGCTGAACTTGAGGCAGTAAAACATAAACGTTAACTTAGAAGAAGATAGAGATATCGCTGTTCACATTAAGCATATGGAGGATGAAGCATCTGAAACAAGACATGAGCTAGAGAAGAGAGATTGGAGAGGAGTATCAAGAAAGAGAAGGAAAGTAGGTTGTCACAGGTTGCTAAAGAAAGAAACTTAAGATAAGCTGAGAATAGGTATAAAGAAGCAAAGTTAATTTCATCAATGATTGACCGTGGTGATAGGATAAAGGAGCCAGTAGTCAGTGAGACATCCTATCCCAGGGAACTTAACACTGAGGTAACATACCCAACGCAGTTTAGTGACCAAGGTGAACCAACCACTGATAGACATATCAAGCGTGAAATTGAACATTCATATGTAGACCATAATCACACTCTCCGTCCAAGTGCTGATGTGTTTGCACCTAGACAGAATAAGGATTCCCATGTCAATCAATCACCTGCCATTGTACCTCAGCCCACACTTGCTTCAGATGTTCCCAGTGTTGAATTGCCAATGAATGCAATGCTGATTTCATCTGTGTATGGAATTCCTAAACCTACTCTACCAGAATTCAAGAGTGGTAAGGAACAAGACTTTTCTTACTGAAGGTGGCACTTGAGACACTAGTTGATGTTCATCCTCACCTGACTGAAACTTACAAGTATCAACTATTATTGGATAAACTTGGTAATAAACCATGACAGCTTGCTGAGGCCCTCATGTTTCACCCTACTCCTTACACAAAAGCTGTGCAGGAATATATATATATTGCAATGCACATAATGGTAGTGCAGGCCAACTGATTCAGAGTGAGATAAGTGCCTTGCTTAACAGTCCACCAATTAGGTTTGGAGATTATGATGCCTTTGAAATTTACCTTACGTATACAGTCGTTAGTTGGGATGTTGAAATCCATGCAGAGTGGAGCTGAACTGTATTGTGCTTCACATGTGTCAACTCTGATTACCAAGCTTCCACATGGGATGCGTGATAACTTTACAGAGTACTGTATCAAACAGGGACTGTATGATTCTGGTTCTAATGCAACATACAATTTGACCCACCTTGACCAGTGGTTACAGCTTAAATCAAGGGCCAAGAGATTATCTCATCAAGCAGTGCCTTGGAATGACTCCATGAAGTCTGATAAGCAAATGTTTCCACGTACAGTTGTCTCTAGCCAACAAAGTAAGGAAACAAGTTCTGCATCAACATTCTACACTCAGCAAAATGCTTCAAATGGCAGACAACAGGGTCAACAGCTCAAGGTCAAACCAAAGTACAAGGGCTACTGTCCTAAATGTATATCAGCTGATCATTTTCTGAATACATGCCCAGAGTTTAAGAAACTTTCTGATCTGGAAGTTGAATCTTGGTTGAGAGATCGATGTTTTCGATGTGCAAGAAAACATAAACCAGAGGACTGTAACCTAAAGACACCATGTCAACTATGTACCGAGTTGCATCTTACTGCCCTACATGATGCATGCAGGCATATGACTGCACAGAAGGTGATGTTTTCGAAGACCTCTTCTCGTCTGCACAAGTATATCTTGATCAGCCATCCAAGCCCTTTAGTACCATGTTGAAAGTTGTTGTGGTTACTTTGTACGGACAAGGCCGAAGCATGAATGCTTACGCAATCCTTGATGAAGGATCTCAAAGAACCATGATTCTAGAATCCGCTGTGAAGTCTCTTGATCTTTTGGAGAAACCAGATACCATTTTGCTTACAACAATTCGGCGTGGCCATATCTGTGCAGCGGACAGTCTGTTAGTCTTCAGTTATCTGCAAAGGATATGCCAGAAACAAGATACAATGTGCTAAATGCCTTCACATCAAGCAACTTGTCTTTATCTGAATATACATACCCAGTGGCTGAACTCCAGAAACAGTGGGCACATATCAGAGACTTACCTTTGCTCCATATTGACAATGCTAAACCAGTCATCCTGATTGGTTCAGACTTGGCTGAACTGATCGTACCCCAAGAGCCAGTTAGAAGTGGACCAAGTGGTTCTCCAATCGCTGTGCATACCAGACTGGGCTGGTCACTTCAAGGAACACACAATTTCCAGCTGCAAGTTAGGACCCAAACAGTATTATTCACTGAAGTGGAATCTACTAGTCTCATGAGTGACGTTCAGGCATTGTGGAAAATGGATGTGATGCTTTATCTGAAGAAGGATGTGATAAGGTCAAAGCAGGATAACCTTGCCATGCATATTCTAGAAACTGACACTCAAAGAGTGGAAGTGAATGGTGTTTACCGATATGCAACTCCATTGTTGAGATTCGATGACACAGTGTTTGAGGCTTCAAAAGAAGATATGATCCCAACACTTCAACATATGGAGCGCCGTTTACTGAATCATCTGGCAAGGGCAGAAATTCACAGTGATCTTGTTCACAAGTTAGTTGATGATGGACTAGTATAAGTTATAAGTGACGAGAAACACAGGAAGACTTCCGAGTCATGGTACATTCCTCATCATGTTGTGTAAACAAAATGGTAAACACACGTTGGTGTTTAATTGCTCTTATGAACATGATGGTAAAAATCTCAACAAGAAATTGTTACCTGGACCACAGTTGGGACCATCCCTACTTGAGTTCTTTTGAGATTTTGACAGCATTCTGTTGCCATTGCTGGGGACATAAAGGCTACGTTCCATCAAGTGCGACTTTTGCCAAGGGACAGATCACTTCTTCGTTTTCTGTGGCGTGACATGAGATGTCATGGTGAACCAGACATTTATGAATGGCAAGTACTGATATTTGGAACAACGTGCAGTCCAGTATGCGCTACTTACGCCCTACAGAGGCATGTAAAGAACCACAGGTAGGGCAAAGAACATGTGAAGAGATCTGTTATGGAAACTTTCTATGTCAACAACTGCCTGGACAGTGTGCCAACTAGTAAAGATGCTAGAAACTTGCTCCATGATATTGGGAATCTGTTGGATGATGGAGGATTTCATGTTTGACAGTGGACCAGTAATGATGCTTCTGTTGTGC